CTGTATCTCGTTATGTCAAAGATATTTTTTTCCCTCAGTTAATCTTGATAGTTGCAGTTATGAAAGAATTAGTTATTAAGTTAATTCCAAAATTTATTTGTAAAATCAAGATCTGCTTTATTAATTTTTGAGTGATTTCTTTTACTAAGATGAAAGCATTTCTTTATCATTTATTGTCTCGGAGATATTAAAATTTTTTAAAGTCTGCTTGTTATAAACAAAAAGTAAAAGAGCTAGTGAGTCACTATATGTATGATAAGTGGCAGATTAAGATAATCAAGGTCAGTTGATTATCTATTTTTACTGTTATAAACTGGGATCATGATAATAAAATATTTAAATACAAAAAAAAAAGAAATAAGCCATAAAAAATAAATAAATAAAATTTAAAAATAAATTAGTTCAGATTCCTAAAAGACGGCCCTTTTTCCTCTTTTTCTTCTCAACATAAAAACCAAAGTGATTTTTAAAAAAAATGTCAGTTCACATAACTATTGTGTTCAAAACCAAAAATATCACTCATTTATCTCAGAGTAAAGTCCTTTCAAAAACCTACACGATACATACCCAAGGTCATAGTGGCTCTGTAGGCCTTCTTTTCAGCTCTTGTCTCCCCACCTCACTAAACTCCACACACATCAGCCAACTTGCTGGCCTTTGAATGTTGCATGAACTCTCTTCCTTCCTGGACTTAGCATTTATTGTTTCAGAGAAATGCAGGGAGCACTATTACTATGTTTCAAGGCTGTTTCTTGTACAAATGAAAAAGTTGTGTGGGTTGAAGGGCAGTTGGTGTCTCTGCCTGAGAGATGTGCAAGAACAGGAGAGATGGTGTAGAATTATCTTCAACAGGCATTTACCCATTTCTAACAGCTAAATAATCCTGATTTTGTTCATAGTCTCAGCTTCCACTAGACTATTGACTCATTTTAATTTATATTTATTGATAAAACAATTTCTAAGGCCACCATCACCCTAATACCAAAACCAGACAAAGATGCCACAAAAAAAGAAAACTACAGGCCAATATCACTGATGAATATAGATGCAAAAATCCTTAACAAAATTTTAGCAAACATAATCCAACAACATATTAAAAAGATCATACATCTTGACCAAGTGGGCTTTTATCCCAAGAATGCAAGGATTCTTCAATATCCACAAGTCGATCAATGTAACACACCACTTAACAAATTGAAAATTAAAAACTATATGATGATCTCAATAGATGCAGATAAAACCTTTGACAAAATTCAGCGTCCATTTATGATAAAAAATCCTCCAGAAAGCAGGAATAGAAGGAACATACCTCAACATAATAAAAGCTATATATGACAAACCCACAGCAAACATTATCCTCAATGGTGAAACATTGAAAGCCTTTCCCCTAAAGTCAGGAACAAGACAAGGGTGCCCACTCTCACCACTACTATTCAACATCATTTTGGAAGATTTGGCCATGACAATGGGAGCTGAAAAAGAAATAAAAGGAATCCAGATTGGAAAAGAAGAAGTAAAACTCTCACTGTTTGCAGATGACTTGATCCTCTACATAGAAAACCCTAAAGACTCTACCAGAAAATTACCATAACTAATCAATGAATATAGTAAAGTTACAGGATATAAAATCAACACACAGAAATCCCTTGCATTCCTATACACAAAAAATGAGAAAACAGAGAAATTAAGGAAACAATTCTATTTACCATTGCAAAGAAAAGAATAAAATATTTAGGAATATATATATCTAAATAAACAAAACACCTATATATAGAAAATTATAAAGAACTGGTGAAAGAAATCAAAGAGGACACAAATAGATGAAGAAATATACCATGTTCTTGGATGAGAAGAATCAATATAGTGAAGATGAGTATACTACCCAAAGCAATCTATAGATTCAATGCAATCCCTATCAAGCTACCAACGGTATTTTTCACAGAAATAGAGCAAATAATTTCACTATTTCTATGGAAATACAAAAAACCTCGAATAGCCAAAGCAATATTGAGAAAGAAGAATGGAACAGGAAGAATCAACCTGCCTGACTTCAGGCTGTACTACAAAGCCACAGTCATCAAGACAGTGTGGTACTGGCACAAAGACAGAAATATAGATCAATGGAACAGAATAGAAAGCCCAGAGGTAAATCCACGAACGTATGGACACCTTATCTCCAACAAAGGAGGCAAGATATACAATGCAGAAAGCAAAATCTCTTTAACAAGTGGTGCTGGGAAAACTGGTCAACCACCTGTAAAAGAATGAAACTAGAACACTTTCTAACACCATACACAAAAGTACACTCAAAATGGATTAAAGATCTAAATGTAAGACCAGAAACTATAAAACTCTTAGAGGAAAACATAGGCAAAACACTCTCTGACATAAATCACAGCAAGATCCTCTATGACCCACCTCCCAGAGTAATAGAAACAAAAGCAAAAATAAACAAATGGGACCTAATTAAACTTAAAAGCCTTTGCACAACAAAGGAAACTATAAGCAAGGTGAAAAGACAGCCTTCAGAATGGGAGGAAATAATAGAAAATGAAGCAACTGACGAAGAATTGATCTCAAAAATATAGAAGCAACTCCTGCAGCTCAATTCCAGAAAAATAAATGACCCAATCAAAAAATGGGCCAAAGAACTAAACAGACAGTTTTCCAAAGAAGACATACAGATGGCTAACAAACACATGAAAAGATGCTCAACATCACTCATTATCAGATAAATGCAAAGCAAAACCACAGTGAAGTGAGAGGGTAACAGGCAGGAAGGCCAGGGGTCTCCAAACGGAGGAAATAGGCTGCAAGTGCCAGACATTTTTATCTCTCTTAAGCGGCAGGAGGGAACAAGCCAGCAATATGTTTTTCCTTCTCTATACAAATTTTAAAGGAGGTTTCTCTTAAAATGCTGTGTTGCCATGACACCAGGTTTCACCTGAAGCTAACTATTCTCAAACCTTGAGTTAACCAATACATTTTTTATGGAAATGTTTATCATAAAGCTATGTTGATTTACCCCCAGACTCTGTAAATTCCGCCAAATGGTCCAACCTACTTACTTAGGTATTGTTCCCCTAATCTATGTAAATGAAGCTATTTGTTGGTAATCTGCCCTCTACAAGATTCAAGTCAATCGTTTTATGGCCAGGGATGAATTATCTGGTACCATTCTAAATTTTAAGACATACCTTTCCTTTCAACAGACTGTGAGTGACTATATAACTTACAGCTAAAAACTAGGAGGGGGGTACTCTTTTGCCCCCTTCTGATGCCTATGTCAGAAGCTTTCTCTATCTCCTTTATACTTTAATAAAACTTTATTACACAAAATCTCTGAGCAATCCAGCCTCGTCTCTGGCCCCAGATTGAATTCGTCTCCTCCGGAGGCCAAGAATCCTGGCGTCTTATCGTTCAGCAACAACCTTTCAGAAGTACCACCTCACACCTGTCAGAATGACTGCTATCAAAAAGTCTACAAACAATAAATGCTGGAGAGGGTGTGGGGAAAAGGGAACACTCTTACACTGTTGGCGGGAATGCAAACTAGTACAGCCACCATGGAGAACAGTCTGATGATTCCTTAAAAAACCGGAAATACAACTGCCATACGGCCAGCAATCCCACTGCTGGGCATACACAGTGAGGAAACCAGAATTGAAAGAGACACGTGTACCCCAATGTTCATCACAGCACTGTTTAAAATAGCCAGGACATGGAAGCAACCTAGATGTCTATCAGGTGATGAATGGATAAGAAAGCTGTGGTACATATACACAGTGGAATACTACTTGGCCATTAAAAATGATGCATATGAATCATTTTTAATGAGGTGGATGAAACTGGAGCCTATTATACAGAGTGAAGTAAGCCAGAAAGTAAAACACCAATACAGTACACTAATGCATATATATGGAATTTAGAAAGATGGTAATGATAACCCTGTATGCAAGACAGCAAAAGAGACACAGATGTAAAGAACAGTCTTTTGGACTCTGTGGGAGAGGGCAAGGGAGAGATGATTTGGGAGAATGGCATGGAAACGTGTATATTATCATATATGAAATGAATCCCCAGTCCAGGTTCAATGCATGATACAGGGTGCTCGGGGCTGGTGCACTGGGTAGACCCAGAGGGATGGGATGGGGAGGGAGGTGGGAGGGGTTTCAGGATGGGGACCATATGTACACCCATGGCAGATTCCTGTCAATGTATGGCAAAATCAATACAATATTGAAAAGTAATTAGCCTCCAATTAAATAATTTTTAAAAAAATTTAAAAATAAATAAAACAATTTCTAGGCAAATGAATAAGAAATTAAATAAATGAATAAGATTTTCTGCTTTACAGTAAGCAATTATAGTGCTGGATTTTTTTCTTTTTTCTTTTCCAATTATTTTTATTAGTTGGAGGCTAATTACTTTACAATATTGTACAGCATCAAAACATGTATATTATCTAGGGTGAAACAGTGCTGGATTTTTTAAATCATATTTTTAGCATACCAAGGTAATTCAGTTCAATTCAGTTCAGTCGCTCAGTCGTGTTCAACTCTTTGTGACCCCATGAATCGCAGCACGCCAGGCCTCCCTGTCCATCACCAACTCCCAGAGTTTACTTAGTTAAAAAAATAAGTATACACCCTATAGTTTGAAGATTCCTTCTTTTTGTAAATAAACATGCACACACATTTGTATAGGAAAGTGCACCAAAGTATTATTAAAAGGGTTAATCACAGCTTATTTTTATTTTCAATCCTTTGCCTTCTATTTCCTAACTTTCTTTAAATTGTATGTATTATTTTAATTATCAGAAAAAGAACTATTCTTACTCTGAAGTCTTTATTGTTTCATAATGTGTTAAATGTTTTAAACGAAAAGCAAGCTTTCAAAATTTCAGAAACTTCATTTAAGCACCTCCACCAAGTACGAAAATCTTCTTCACCATCCAAAGCAGCAAGACATTCTCAAAGAACCACAGTGAGAGCTAAGAGTCAATATTCTTCAGAGAATGGAAACTCAGGGTGACCGGCACCACTGAAAGAGAAGGAGGAGGATTCATTTATTAAATCAGCCATAGAGCATTAATGTCATAGAGCATTACTCTATGATGCAGTCAGGATGGGCTAAAACTCTAAATCTACAAACGCGTCCCTCCTTCTCCCCTGACAAGCACACATTAGGAGTCTGCTCGACATGCACACAGCACCTGCTCATCCAATACCAACATTCATATGTAATATTCACTCCACAGTGACAGGTAGTGACAATTGATAAGAGGGCACATTCATAGGACTAAGTACGGAGGTCATTTCAGACACAGATGGGACTTCTGTCCCTAAATGATGAGAAGGGTCACAGTGACCAAATTTGCTGCTCTTTTTCACACAGCCATGGATAAGCGGATACTGAGAACCCAAAAAAAAATTACAGGATGTCTCCATTAAGGAATTTCTCATCTGTTGAAGATATACCATGTACACCTTAATAATCATACAGCACAAAATGGGGTCATTATTTTTTTACTTTATAATATATTAAAACACTGGTTATTCAGCAATTAGTATTAGTGCTGTTTTCTTTTTTTTCCATGTTTGTATATTTCATTCTAATGTGTCCTTTTCAATTCAATTCATTATAATGTGCATTTTTAGTGATTCCATATTCCAGGAGCTATGCTATTGAGTTGAGCCCACAAAGATATGTAAGTCTAGGCATTCACAGACTAATGAAGGAGAACACAGAATTAAAAAGCCTTTGAAAACTTAAAAGCTGTTGAGTACAGAAGAGGAACTTTCCAGTTTTTTTCAATGTATCATAACTTTTCTTAGAATCATGATATAGCTTTGCAACAATTGAGAGAGTTTTGAGATTTTCCACTGAAACTAAATCTTCGTTTTACCATTTATTTGTATTCTTTTCTCTCAAAACTCCCTTCAAAATTTCTCTTTTGTCTATTCAGTCCTGATCTCCTTCTTCAGTAATTAGGCAGCTAGAGTCACATGTTACTGACTAAGTCAAAGTCCAGGTGATAGGGGTTTCCAAAGGGATGTACCCCTGATGGACAGAAGCTACAGATGGGTGAGTGTTGACCCAAGAAACCAGACACCCAGTCGATCTTACCTGGGCGTGTCCTGCTAACAACACAGAAGTCACTCACTGGATGGTCCATTAAGTTAATGACCTGCTTGTAATTCAGTGTTGTGAAATTATAAGGATGAGGAAATGGGAGTTGGAATCGGGGGGAAAGGCCAATGAAGAGATCAATTTGAAATAAATGGATAATGTCTTGGAGAAGAAATGCCCATTACAGAGAAAACCCACCAGATACTTAGGGGAAGGGATGGAAGTAGGTCCACTGTGACTTCTGAGCATTGGTGCACATTGGCCTGCCTGGATCCCCTCCAGAAAAATATTAACATGACATTTTACAATTGCACACGGGAAAATATCAATGCAGGCTTCCCAAGTTGTTCAGTGGTAAAGGATCCCACTGTCCATGCAGGAGACATGGGTCCAACTGCTGGACTGGGAAGATCCCTTGGACAGGGAAAAGTCTGGGAAATCCCATGGACAGAAGAGCCTGGTAGGTTACAGTCCATGGGGTTGCAAAAGAGTCAGATAGGACTTCACCACTGAACAACAACAAAACATGAATGTAATGCATGATGGATTCATTATTATACAGTTATTATTAACATAATCATTTTCCCCTGATGCAAAAAGAATTAAAGATGAAACATGTTCACAGGCCCCTGAAGGAATAGTGGGCTACATGCACCCTGCCCTTTGTGTTTTCTGGGTCCTTCCACACTGAGAGGAGGTGCAGCAAGCCCAAGAATTAGGGGCACAAAGTAGTGAATTCACCACAGTGTCCACTCCGGCCATCCTGTACAATGGCCACTCTTTCCTGGGCTTTCCTGGGACCCAGTCACATTTCTGTCAGTCAGAGATGGAGCCCTGGAGGAAACCTCTGGTCTGAGGTCTACAGGAAGCCCCTGGTTTACTCCTACACTGGAAATCAGGACTGTCTTCCAAGAATTAAGCTTTTGAAAACCTTAATTCCCCTGCTGACCTGCCTGCTACAGGAAACAGTGTATGTGTGAGATATCTGTAAGTCACTTACAATAGTATCTCATTATATCTTATATTTCTATTGAGGCCATCAATTGTTTTCATGTCTTCTGGAGTCAGCTCGAAGTCAAATACCTGGAAGGAAGGAAGAATCGCATTAACCTCTCCCCCAAGGAGCCGACCTCCCCCTGGGCACTGGAGTATTTTCCAGCTGGATGGAGACATAAGGAGGGGACAGGGAAGCCATGTCTGTCATCAGCTTGCAGGTGAACAAGCCTGGGAGCCTCTGCTGAGTTATCACCTCTCCTTCCCACACCTTCTCCTCCTCTGTCCACCTCACAAACATTACAGTACATCAGTCCCTTATCTTTCTAAGTGAATCACCTGTAACAGAAAACAAACTAAAATCTTCTTTTTCCAAACTCATTGCCTTTGGACACTCCTGACTTGATACTGAACCTGAGCTAACATGAGACTGATTGCATCTCCCCAACACACCCTAAGGGTGACAGCATTCATCTGAAGCAGAGTGGGAAGGAGGCTCCCCCTTGAAAGCCTGTTCAGGAATCTATCAAACTACTCATTATCTATGACTGAACCTAACAAAAATTTTATGCAAATACTTTTGTGCAGAAAGTAATGAAATTGTTAAAACATTAAAGAACACCTTAACAATTAAAAATTCACATCATAGTCATAAAAATGCAAGCAATGGCAACCCACTCCAGTACTCCTGCCTGGAAAATCTCATGGACAGAGGAGCCTGGTAGACTACAGTCCATGGGGTCGCAAAGAGTCGGACACAACTAAGCGACTTTACTTTACATTAACAATTAAAAATTCACATCATAATCATGAAATTACAAGCCCAATTTTGTAAAGAAATTCATTTTCTCCAAAGTGATCTAGTGTTTCAAATGCAACATGAACCAAAGACTTGAGCATATATTCTTTCCTGGAAGCTGGTAAAGTGATACTTAATTTTAAATAAAGGAGAGCTAATCAAAAGTAGTCAGGACATTCTTAAAAAATAAAAAATTACCATTCTGAAAAGCAAGACTGATTTTTCACTTAAGAACACAGTGTACGTGTCTCTTTCAGATCTGGTTTCCTCAGTGTGTATGCCCAGAAGTGGGATTGCTGGGTCATATGGCAGTTCTATTTCCAGTTTTTTAGCCCAGGTTGGATGCATGAGACAAGTGCTCAGGGCTGGTGCACTGGGAAGACCCAGAGGGATCGGGTGGAGAGGGATGTGGGAGGGGGGATCGGGATGGTGAATATATGTAAATCCATGGCTGATTCATGTCAATCTATGGCAAAAACCACTACAATATTGTAAAGTAATTTGCCTCCAACTAATAAAAATAATTGGGAAAAAAATAAAGAACACAGTGTAGAAAACTGAATATTTAAATAGAAGAGAAACACCAGAAATGTGTTTATGGAAACTTGATATATGACTGAGCTGACAATGAAAATCTGTGAGGAAATATGGAACTTAGATTTACATTTAAATACACATAAACATATATGTATCTATTTTTGTATTATCTTAGATAATCAGTTCCAACTAGATTACAGAACCAAATTTAAATGGAAATATGGAAACAATTTATCAGGGGACAATTTCTGTTCCCCTTGACTTGGCCTGACCTGTAACCTGCATTGAATAGTGATATATCCCATAAGTGGTAAGCCAGATCTGAGCCCAGACAGGAAGAGGACTTTTTACCTAATCACTGACTTGGGGTCATTGCCCTGTGCTGAGATGAAGACTAGACTAGTTGGCACAGTCTAGTCAAATATTCATGAAAAACTGTACAGAGAAGTATGAAGGCCTATCTGACAAGAGCCACATCCACCTGCTAAAACAGAACTGCCAAGCTGCTCTGAGCTCAACTTCAAATTCATAAAAGAGCCCAGCCAAGAGGACAACAGCTTAGCTGAGTGCAGGCTGATTGTCAAGATACAGAAGCAAGAGACACATAAAAGACCCCAGAATTAAATTCTGAAACTGAGGAGTTTTCTGTACAGCTATGGCTGAAGGTACAATAATGGTCTCCTACACTGAAAACAAAATACAACCTAGCAAAAATGGACAAGCTATTGAAGGAGAACTTCACAAAGACAGAAACTCAAGAAGATTAAATATACAAAAATGAAACCTTATTAGAATTCAGTGAAATGCAAAATAAAAACACAATCTTTCTGCCCTCATATTCACATGTTGATGGTGTAAGAAATGAAATCTTTGAGAGGCGATTAGGTAATGATGGTGGAGCCCACGTGAATGAGATTTAAACAACATCATATTCATATAAGATATTTGGGAGAGCTCTTGACCCCTCCACCATGTTAAGATAGAAAGAGAAGCCTGTGACTTGGAGGAGCACCCTCACCTGACTACACGGGGACCCTGAACTCAGATCTCCAGCTTCAGAATTGTGAGAAACAAATTTAAATTTTTTTTCTCAGGCGTTCAATTTGTGGTATTTTGCTAGAGTGATACAAACATTCCAAAAAAAATCAAATAATTCAATTGCATCCATTGAAAACAAGGAAAACAAAATTTCATTTACATGAAGTGACAGAATACATTGCAAATGTAATGCTCAAACTAAAACCTCCATTATCTGTCCAACTGTGACCCTCTTCAGACATGATGCCTCTCCTGTTGCCACAGCAGGAGGAGAAAACCACCAGAAATACACACAAGGCATTCATGCTCAGGGAAAGAACAGGTAACTCATCTTGGCCCAAATACGGTCTGAGAGTCAGACAAAGAATGACCCTCATGAAGGATACTCCTTAGGGACCCTCTCCCCACAGTCTCACTCATCACCTGTATATTCTCTTTGATCCACTTCTTATTGTTACCCTTGGCCAGAACCACAACCCCACGTTGTATCTGGTAGCGAAGGGCAACAAGAGCTGGGGTTTTCTTATGCTTTTGGGCAATGGCAGAGAGAACCGGGTCCTCCAAGAGAATGGGGTGGTTCAGATTCACCCTGGAAGGAAATTCAGAAATGCTGAGAAGCTGAGACTAGGTACTCAGTTTGTGAGTAAGTTTCCCAAACAGACCAAGAGGTTCACTCTAGATCACTGCTTCTCAAAGTGTGGTCCATGGACCACCATCATCAGTATCACCTGGGATCTTATTAGAAATACAACCATGCCTGAGCTAAAGACAAACTGAATCAGAACCTCAACTGTGTCACTTTCCATTCTATGTTTACAAAGCTCTACAGATGATTCAAAGGCATTATTGAGTTGAGACCAGGACTGCCAAACTCATAGATTTTTTCCTTAATTTTCAGGGAGTGTTTTTTCTTCTACAAACAAGGGCATGAAAAGAGAAACTGAAGGAAAAAACCAAGAGTAGTTTGTAAATTTCACTTTTTCTAAGGTATTGATAAAAATCGAGTAATCTCAAAGTAAGAGACATTTATTTCATCATTATTCTACTATGGATGTTTACAAAAATGGTTCAAGTTGAATTTCTTTTCTATCATGATAGACCTAGGAGTTATATATTATTATCTCAACTTTAGACATAAGGTGAGTGAGTCTTGGAACACCTATTTTTTAAAATGTGCTCCTTAGTTAATAGGTAAATCATGACATAAACTGGTGTCCCTGGTCTCAACCGGGGGATTACATATAGATTTTAATGCAGACATTTGTTACTGATGAGTCAACAAGCTAATATAATCTAGAAAAATTGGCTGGGTGATGGGAAGATAAAAGAGAAGAAATCATTCCATTACTCCTCTCTCTCCCTTCTGCTATGAGAGTTACCTGAGTATTTTTTTATTTAAACTATCTCATCAAAAATTGAATTTTACATAAACTCCCTGTTGCTTTCATTGGAGTTCAGTACCATCCTTTTACTCTTTGGGATCCCAGAGCACTATAGGCAACAAGAACAATATCATGTGACTTGCAGAAATCCAACAGTTTCCTCTGATTGAGATAAGGGTGACATTCCACCTGTAAAAAATCGATAGAGAAGAGTGTCAAATATTAAGGAAACATAATACTAATATGACAAAGAGAGACAAAAAGTTTAAAAAATGCTTGTCTCATGCATCCATCCTGGGCTGGTGATCTATAAAATTAAGGTGAAAAAAAAAAGTTTAAAAAATGATAAAGGAAAAATGACAACATTAAATGTAAACTGGAAATATTAACAACAGAGAAACAAAGAAAAGTGTGTTTATACAGTTAATTTATGATGGACATAGATAGGAGAACCAGTCCGAGATTGACTAATCAAAAGATGGACTGTACATTTGAGTAGACATTCATGAGTAAACTATTTCATAGACTGTTAGCATCACCATGAGCCTTTAACTTCACCCTCTAACCTGGATGATTTTCATAATGTCCAGCACAATTTTCTGAACTGTGCTCCCTGCTAAAGACTTATAAATGCTGTGACACCAAGATTTAGGAATCAGCCATCAGAACCCCACACAAACCCTTAACACCCATTGCAACTGATTTCACTCTATTAATTTACCTCTGATTCCATGTTTTCATGGTTTTCCTTCCTGTAAAAAGCTTGCTCCAGGGCACTTTCAATCTCCAAACTGATCATGCTATCATCTCAGGGAAATACTTCCTTCCTCTACTTCTGGGTTCTATTCATGATTTACCAGGAAGCCCTCTGCACTTTTTCCATCCAAATTTATCAGACAGAAATACCATTATGGGTTCTATTCACACCATCCAGACAGGGGCTCTACTCTCTAGAACCTTCTGTCCACAAATGTAAGATGAACAGGAGGGGAGGACAGACAGACATCAGGCTCCAGTGCAAGAAGGAGGTTATGAAGAGCAGGAGGGAGAGGAGCCGAGCTGCTCACCTGGTTGCACACAGGCTTGTACTTGAGCCCCGGCTTGTTCAGAATCTTCTCCAGCTGCTTGTGGTTGAAGTTGGACACCCCGATAGACTTGGTCAGTCCTATATCCTTACACTTCTCCAGGGCCTGGGAGAGAGGGGTGGTGAACAGTCATTTAAAATTAGTGATAGATCAAGAATAAATGCTGGAAAAAAATCTGTAAAAGTATCATCCATCAAGAATTAACATTGATTATCAAGAAGAAAAGAGAGGAAGAAGACATTGTACAAA